CCTATGATTGTGTAGCCTAGTGAACCAAACTGAGATACCATTTTGAAGGCTCAGGAAACCTTTGTAGGTGTTTTGAGTTGATTAGCTGATTGTCATGTCACCATATTCTAATTTGTTGGTGGGTTTTTGTTAAATGTGAGCCAAAATCATCACAATTAAAAGAACCAAAGACTTAAACTACTTCAGTCTGTGTGCATTGAATTTATTTAATACACGAGTTTCACAATTTGAGTTGAATTACTGAAATAAATTAACTTTTCCACGACATTCTAATTTATTGAGATGCACCTGTATATCTGAATATCATCAGCACAACAGTGATAATGAAAACCATGACGACGGATAATATGTCCAAGAGGCATGATGTAAGTAATGAATAGTAATGGCCCAAGAACAGAGCCCTGGGGAACACCCTGACTGAGTAAAGTAGTGGGAGATTTATAATTATGCATAGTGATGTAGTATTGTCTATCAGTGAGATAGGAAGAGAACCAGGATAGTGCAGCACCTGAGACACCTATCTCTGAAAGGCGGGAGAGTAATAACTTGTGACAGACAGTATCAAATGCTGAGCTGAGGTCGAGCAGCAGGAGAATGGAGAGATTACCTGAGTCACCAGAGAGTAACAAATCGTTGACAACCTTAACTAAAGCAGTTTTAGTGCTGTGATGAGCGAAAACCAGATTGAAATGCATTGAACTGATCGCTGAGAGCTAGAAAAGACTGTAGTTGATTGGCAACAACTTTTCCATAATTTTCTAAATAAATGATAAATTGGAGATTGGACGATAATTGGTGAAATCAGCTGGGTCCAGGTTTGGTTTTTTAAGAACAGGAGTAACAGCAGCAATTTTCAGTGAAATTGGAACAGTGGCAGAGATAAAGGACATATTTATTAAGTGTGAGATAGGAGCAGAAATGACAGAAGTACAGTGTTTCAGAAGGAATGTGGGTGCAGGATCTAACTGGCATGAGGAAGAATTAGAGTTCTGTATTATTTCAGCAATTAAGGTTGGAGTTGTCAAGGTAAAATTATTTAACAGTTGAATAGTTTGAGCTTGCTCACAAGTAGAAGTGGTTGGTTCAGTGCCAAGAGACCCACATAGAGCATCCAGTTTTATTTGAAAGTGGCGCAAGAAAGAGCCACACAAATCATCACATTCATATCGACTGAGACTATGGCTAGGTGGCGGAACTAATTTATTAACCATGCTAAACAGTGTTTTTGGCCTATTATTTGCTTTATTGATGATGTCGGAAATATAGGAAGAGCGTGCTGCATTCAAGGCAGTTTTATAATGCCTAATATGTTCTGAAAATATCTGAAAAGAATAATGGTCAAATTTATAACTGTTAATATTCTAAAATAAGATCTTTATGACGTATGCAGCCTAGAAATGCGACCTCTGGATGATGCAGCCTTCCGTTTGAGAAACGGCCCAAATCATGCAATGAAAATGATTCCCCTTACCTGACCCCAGCCCTAAACATACCTGTCACTAAGACGTGAGCCAATCAGGTAACTTGTTTGAAAACGACCCTCTGTTTTGGCCTCGCCCAACGATCTGGTAACTCCCATTACTTTCTGGCAGAAACAAATGAATCAGCCGTTTTGAACGAATTGTTTGAATGAATGATTCAATGAATCACTTAAGACAGGGACTTGCCACCACCTACTAGCGGATTTTGTGGAGTCATGTTTATTTATCCTTGACAAGGCCTAAACCAACCAAGGTATCATTTAATTATCTTTATGGATAGGAATCAAATATATATAACTTTGGTCAATATCACACACCACTAGTGCATTTATCAACTGCGATGTTCTAAAAACCACTGCGAGCAACCAACGTCCTGGCAACTATTTTCAGAAAATATGAAAAACTAGTAATTAGCTGTAATCTGCCTTTATTTATTTTTAATTAAGCTTAAATATTGTATGTCTACACTACACCAACAAGTTCTCAACTTTAAAAATGGTTTACTGGAATAAAAAGTTTTACGTTTTTCCCCCTATTATTTGTTGCCCCAAACTGTAGTAATTTGTGACAAACCTTTTCCATCTCCAGTCTGAAAGTGGTGTAAATTTCATTGCTTAACAACCACCTACAGTAGCACCGTCCTGGCAATTTTCTCCAGAACATTTGAAAACCTATTGTTTAGCTGTAATCTGCCTTTTTCACATAATGCTTTGCATTAAATTGTATTAGTCATAGAACAAAATGTCTTTGTGAAAGAGAACATTTTATAGGATTGTCAAGAGCAGATATTTATTTGAAGGTACTGAGAAAGTTTTACAAATGAGAAAAAAGTCCTTATTACATTCAGGAAGCTAGAAATTCATCCTTATAGTAAACTTTCATAAAGGAACGTGTTCTACGACCAGTCTGTCATCGTCTGTATTAACTTATAAGGCCAATTCACACTGCACAGACAGATGCAGACCAACGCCGACCGAGCACAGTAAGCCTACGTCACTTCTCAGACATACCAAGACTCGATAAATGCTGATTCAACATTCAGTTGGCAAAAAACAAGCACAGACCAACACCAACAGATGCTGACAGGAGTAACACACTGATCAGACAAAACCTGGCAAACGTGTCTGTTGCTGTTTATTGGCATCTGCCAGTGCAGTGTGAATTGGCCTTTAAACTCGTCAACAACAAGACTTGTCTAAGTACACAAACAAATAGATCTAGAAACAATAAAAAGAAAAACTCATTTGGTAATGCATTACGGCTTAGCTTTTATTCGGGCCCTTTGCAGAACCTTTCTTCTTGGCTGGAGCTTGTTTTTTAGGCTGGGCTTTGCCGGCCTTCGCTTTTGCCTCTTGGGATTTTGGGGCTTTAGGTTTTGTCGCCGGTGCTTTGGCTTCCTCAGAGGCAGCTATGGCTTTCTCAACATGCTCCTCTTTGAGGGGTTCTTGTTTGGGCGGCTCTGGTTCAGGTAGCTCAGGTTTAACAGCTTCATCTTTGCTATCTTCTTTCAAGACAGGCTTCGGCTGCTCTTCTTTGAGGGGTTCTTGTTTGGGCGGCTCTGGTTCAGGTAGCTCAGGTTTAACAGCTTCATCTTTGCTATCTTCTTTCAAGACAGGCTTCGGCTGCTCTTCTTTGAGGGGTTCTTGTTTGGGCGGCTCTGGTTCAGGTAGCTCAGGATCTTGATCTTCTTTCAAGACTAGCTTCGGCTGCTCTTCTTTGAGGGGTTCTTGTCTGGGTGGCTCTGGTTCAGGTAGCTCAGGTTTAACAGCTTTATCTTTGCTATCTTCTTTCAAGACAGGCTTTGGCTGAGTGGATTCCTGTTCGATCGTCTCTTCCTCTTTTGTTGTCTCTTCCTGGCTTGGTTCCTCTTTGGCGGACTCTTGATTTCCTGTCTGTTGTTCAGTGATTTCTGGTTGTAGAGGCTCTTGAAGAAGTTTAGATTCCGTCTCAGGCTTGGCGGGTTCAGGATTTGTGGGTACTGATGGCTTCTCTTCGTTTACTCTAGCAACCTCTGGTTTGTTTTCTTCTGTGGTGGAGGGTTCCTCTTTTGTTGATTCTGGTTTATCTTCTGGTTTGGTGGACTCAAGTTTGGGAGCCTCAGGAATTGCTGGAATCTTTTCTGCCGTCTTCTCTTCCTCACTATCAGATTCTCCAGCATCATCTGTTATGGAACTTACCAAGGAAGCTGCAAACTCCTGCAGACGGATCTGCTCCTCTCGCAGCCTCTTCATCTCTGTGGTCAACATTGGGTTGGGAGCCGGCTTAGGAAGTTGGACGAGCTCTGGAAGCTCATCTACTTGGGGCAAGTCCACCACTGGTGCTAGAGTCGCCTTTTCTAAGGACCGTATTTCTTTAATTTTGTCATATAAACTTTTTCTTTCATCCTGCAGTGCTTGGCACAGAGTCTCCAGACGGTCGATTTTCAAAGTGAAGAGTTCAAACTCTTTGGCCTTTTCTGATCTCTGTTGGAGTGTAGTTAATCAGTTAGTAAGTGAAAAGCTAATGGTCAAATACTAACAAATTGTGTGTGTAAATTACCTCCTCAATCATTTCAACAAGAGTTTTATTGCAGCTTTCAAACCGTGTCTTCCATATACTTGACTCCTTTTCCAGCTTTTTCATCTTCTTTGTCATCTATTCAGATAAAAACTTGATCAGCATATGACTTATATGCTTTAAAATAGACAAAGGCATTTTAAGTTGTTCACTGCAAAAAAAAAATAAAAATAAAAATCCTATTCTTAACAAGCTTTTTTGTCTAATTTTATAGTTGAAATATTAAAAAATCCTTGAAGCAAGACACATTTACTGGAAACAACACTGTATAAGACATTACGACTTATTTTCAGAGAATGTAGTTTTAATACGAGTGTATTTTATCTTACTGCATCAGAAGGTTTATCACTTGTTTTAGGTATAAATGAGTTAAAAAGTGGAAAAATCTGACAGTGCAAAATACACTTTAAAATAAACTTTTTCTTAAAAAAAAAAGTCTTAATATCTTATGCAGTGTTGCTTCTCAAGTAAATTTATCTTGTAGATATTTTCACTGGAAAACAACTAAGAAGTTATAAAAAGAAAACTGTAAAAGTGTGCATAGTACAACAAACCCTCTCCATCTCCTGTTTGAAAGTGATGTAGATTTCATTGCTTTTTGCTAGTGTGTTCTGGAACTCATCAAACTTCTGGGAGTACAACACAAGCTGTAAGAAGAGAATTAGAGTTAGCATCATTCAGAGAAAATCATTGTAAATATCGCCTTTTAAAGATTGATAAATTGTGCCATAAGAAAAACTTGCATGATGATGATGATGACATTTGTACTCAGACTTAGACTTAGACTTTGTATTTGGAATCAAAATTTGTTCTTTTTTTCTTGTTTATATTTATGAAGAATTGATTAATACATTAATGATTGAATGGATAAATAAATAAATACATATTTAAATATTTATTTATACATATTTAAATATTTATTAATATTTATTTTTATTCATTCATACATCCATTCATTTACTTATTCATTCATTCTTTTGTTTACATTATGGACCTGATGTGAAAATGAAAGAGTTAATCACTGATTTTGCAGCTGCACTTTACTCAATCCATCTGCAGTTAGTCAAAGCAAATGTTCCATTCAAAAACACAGAGCTTTAAATAAGTGAACACGTTCTGCAATGACTCAGTATGTAATGTGCAAGGCATCACTTATTATTTATAATAGCAGCAGTTAAACTCATCCAGGTCGTATTTGCTGTTCAGCACTTGTGGCACTTGTGAACTATAATAATTCACTGAAATAATATTTTTCTGTCTGTGTTGTCACAATAAAGCCATGAGAGAGAGGAAGCCTTCATACAGCCATCAACATGATTAACTCAAAGAGCTTCATTATCTTTTTTGTTGATTCAGAGACAGTGAGATGTTGTCACATTCATTTCCTTAAAGAATTAATCAGTATCTAGATGTATCTGCTCTAAGACAGAATGATAATATTTCTCAATATGCACCACATTTTTGATGCTTTAATTTCCTTTTTTTGTAACTGGAAAACCTCAGTCCTTATTTATTGTAATTGCATAAAAAAGTATTCTTTAAAATTTCTCCTTTTGTGTTCCACTGAACACAGATTTGACAGGTTTGAAACAACATGAGGGTAAGTAAATGAAGACAGAATTTAGGCAAAACTGTAAAACTCTCATGATTCCTTTCATAAACATCCGTCTGTAATTTATCTATCCATCTCAGCTGCAATGTATTCAGACAGTGCATTTAGTGCAATTGTGCCTAATGGCTATGAATCAACACCGTAAATTGCCTTTTAAGGATCGATTGGTTTATGTGGTTTGTCACACAGCTCAGCGAGAGAAACGCCACAGCTAGAGAGGAGAGAGTGTTGGATTGTGGGTAATGCCACAGCGGTAGATATTCACCTGGGCCTGCATGACAGTGTGCTGCTCTTTCAGTTCTTTAGTCTGTAGTTTCCACTCTGCAGCCTGAGTGAGTAACTGGTTAAACACAAGACACACACACAAACAGGTGAGAGAGACCGAGAACTCTGCATTTTGTGTTCCACTGAACACAGATTTGACAGGTTTGAAACAACATGAGGGTAAGTAAATGAAGACAGAATTTAGGCAAAACTGTAAAACTCTCATGATTGCTTTTCATAAACATCCGTCTGTAATTTATCTATCCATCTCAGCTGCAATGTATTCAGTGTATTTAGTGCAATTGCGCCTAATGGCTATGAATCAATACCGTAAATTGCCTTTTAAGGATCGATTGGTTTATGTGGTTTGTCACACAGCTCAGCGAGAGAAACGCCACAGCTAGAGAGGAGAGAGTGTTGGATTGTGGGTAATGCCACAGCGGTAGATATTCACCTGGGCCTGCATGACAGTGTGCTGCTCTTTCAGTTCTTTAGTCTGTAGTTTCCACTCTGCAGCCTGAGTGAGTAACTGGTTAAACACAAGACACACACACAAACAGGTGAGAGAGACCGAGAACTCTGCATTACCTGTTTCTTCATCTGTAACTCCTGCTCCCTCATTGCGTAGCATTTCTTTGTTTTTTCAATAGCCTCTTTAAGCAACTAACAACATAAATAGTGAGATGTTAACATGTGCCAATTCTTGAGATTCACTGAAACATTTTTATAAACAGGGTCCAACATGAACTTTTTGCCACTCTTGAGAAAATTTAAGTTAATAATATAGTAATATAGACTATATATTAAGGGACAAAACAAAGATCCCAGATAAATTTTCATTGAAAAAACATGGAAAATTTTCCATTAAGAAGACTTGCAAGTCACAACAGATGTTTTATTTGAATGACACATTCATCGCTTATCAGGAAATGTCAGATTACCATATCAACTTAATATACTATGTTGCAGTTCTTTATAAAATGACCTTTTATAAGCCAATTATTACTTGCATTTTGCACTTGATGATTGTTCATTTTAGACCCTGCTTGTAAATAAATTCATTGTAAGCACATGCAAATGAATTAGCCTGCCCTTCATTTTACTTGAGGCAAATCTGAAGAGCCAGAATAGGAGATCTGTGTGTCTTACATATTCCTTCTCTCTTTTGTGCTTCTCTTCAGCTTGACTGAGGAGCATGTTGGCTTCTTCCAGCTTGGCATCAGACAGTTTCTGCTGTAGATCTCTGTGTTTGAATATCTTCTTTAAACTCTGCATAAAAATACAGGGAAGAATTTATTTAATTGTATTTAATTTAATTTAATTTAATTATATTTCATTTAATTTAATTGTATTTAATTGTATTTAATTTTATTTAATTTTATTTTTAATTTTACAAAGTCGTTTGCACCGTGCTCTTTTGTCACTTAGTGTTTTATTTTGGTGCGTCAATCTATTAGATTACTTGGTATATAAAACCATGATCTGCACTCACAAAAATGTATTATTTTACATTGATCACCAGTAGGACAAAAAAAGTAGACTGTTTTTGTGAGTGCAGATCATGGTTTTATATTTTATTTGATTTTTCCATTGTCCAAACCACTTGTCCTATTTGGGGTCGCAGGGATGCTGTAGCTTTTGTCATTTCTTGGAACAACATTTAACACAGTACAACATTTTAACGTTGAGAATTTGTGTTTGTCTCTCTCCTGATACACCACACAGTGCGATTATTAACAAGCAGAACATGTTCCAGGATCAACATGCTTTGTTGTTCTTGGAACAGCTTTTGTATCAATCATCCTTTTACACCTAAAATCAGAGGGCGGTGATTGGTCAATAGGGATGTTGTTCCAGGAACATGTTCTTCTTGTGTAAATCACATTAAGCATGATGCATCTCACTCTTATGATGCGTGTCTCTACCGCAGCCAGCAGAGGGCAGTAGAGACACACGACACAATTCAATTTCGAGTCAGTTAAATTCTTGGGGTCTGTTTTAGCCCCCCACCACACAGCTGTGTGTGAGCAGTCTCTGTGGTACCCATCAGCATGACCGATTGAGCTTAACTTCCCCTCACATCAGGCTTGTCATTCCACCGGTCGATCCTCATGTGATTAGATAGAGAATACTAGAGTGTTCTACAAGGTGCTATATTCACTGTCAAACCAGGCGTGAATCACTGAGTCAAAGTCCAAAAACACAAGTATCTGCTGTGCATATAGCAGGTTTAGAAAGTGTGAGGGTGTAGTTTCGTCCGCCTCGTGTCGTGAAATTACAGCTCTGGCAGACTTCAGCTCTAAAACACGCACATGTTTTTATGCATAGTGACTGTAAAAATTGCTCATGTAAACTACCAGTCAGAAGTTTGGAATAATTATGTAATGTCTTTGAAATTCTCTTGTGCTCACCAAGGATGCATTTATTTGATCAAAAATACTACAAATATTACAGTTAAAAAACTGTTTTTTGAAATTATTTTTGATAGCAAAGCTGAATTTTCAGCAACCATTACTCTAGTCTTCAGTGTCACATGATCCTCCAGAATTAATTCTATGCTGATAATAATTCTATGCTAATACCTTTAATAACTGATAATAATTGAGCAGCAAATCAGCATATTAGAATGACTTATTTAGTTTGATTTCTTCACTCGTGATGCTATATTCTCATCTCAATCATAATCTTTACATTCTTGTTTATAACGGTCATTGTTGACTAAACCTAAACCTATTAAAAATATTATTAAAACATTAAAACTATAAAAACATTTCAATTAGTGTTTCCGTTAACTGAAAAAAAGCTGAAATAAAGTCAAATATAAATATTCAATGAAAAACCTAAACAAAATGAGGGCAAAACAAAACTAAAATAAAAATACATTAACGGTAGAGAGAAATATTTAAAAATAATAAAAATACAAAAGCACATAATAAAATTACTTGAACCAAATTAGAATCTTAGAATGATTTCTGAATGATCATGTGACACTGATAATGAGAATGGAGTAATGCTGAAAATTTAGCTTTGCCATCACAGGAATACATGACATTTGATTTTTTTTAAATATATATTCAAATAGAAACCAGTTATTGTAAATTGTAATAATATTGTAATAATATTTCACAAAATTACGTTTTTTACTGTATTTTTAATCAAATAAATGCACACTTGGTGAGCATAAGAGACTCAGGACATATGACATTTAAAAAATCGTAATTATTCAGAACTTTTGACGGCTGTAGTTGCAGAGTTTAAAATAAGTTTGGAACCCCAATAATGGCTCATTAAAATTTTCTGCTGGACCAGAACATAAAAATCCAATCAGATGCATTATCAAATGTATCACAATCATTTATGGTGCACACTTACTTGTACCAAAATCGAATCTCGACTGTGCCTTGGGGTGCAGCTTTAAACAGATTTATGACTGAATCGCTTTGACAGATGTGTTAGATATTGTTGTGTTTGAAATCCTCAATTCATTTTGCTGGCTTTCGCTGCACAGGTCTTCGGTCTGCTTCACACCACAAGCACATATTTATTTTAGGGCCCATATTAACAGGTTACAGTCTTCACACTGCCCACATAAACAGCACAGTGCTGTGCAGCTGAAAATAGAGTTCTGTTGCAGCAGAAGCACTGTGAACGGTGGGCCTGCTGGAGCTCTGCTTATGTGTGGATTTAATGCATTTCAAATCTAGATGTTATGTGTACAGATACGTCCTGTGGATTTAATGTAATGTGTGTGGATTTCCGTCAGTACCTCTTCTCTCCGCTCATACTGCTCTATGATGGTCTTGAGTTTGCTGGCCAGATCACTGTTCTCTTGGCACAGCTTGTTGTTGCGGTTACTGTGCTGCTCGATCTGATTCTGAATGTCCACTAGCGTGCTCTGGAAATGAGCGGAGATCTCCTTCCGCTTCATTTCATCCTCCTGCAGCCTCTGCAGACTCTCCTCCTGCAGGGAGAAAGAGAGAAGGAAACGTGTGGGAAATCTGGGAATATGCAGACTTAAGTGATGAAAGCAATCTAGATCTAGTATTATGTGAGATGGAGCTGTGATTAGATGGTCAAAGTCAAGTAATGTATTGTGTTTGATAGCATTTTGTGGTAGAAATGACAGTGAAGGAAATGATATTTTAAACATTTGTGGAATAAAATGGCCAACTCTTACTAAAGCTTATTTCATTATATGGCATAAAATCCAAACAATTAAACAATATTTTGTATTTGACATCTTGATTTATCACAATTGATATTCACCTTGATTATTTTTCGTTTGTTGCTTCATTCATTACATATTTAATAATAATAATAATAATATAATATATTCATAATATTTCATATTTTATTTCAGTCATGCTCCTCACTTAAAGTGTTGTCTTGCTGATAACAGTGTTGTCATTGTTAACTAACACAAAAACGATTTAAAAAATGTTAATTAAAATAAATCTGAAATAAAATAAAATATAAATATTGAAAACCTCAACTTAAAAACACTCAAAAATGAGAAATTTGCATTTTCAACTAACTGAACTAAGCTGAGGTGTACTAAAATAAAGATTCTGACCAATAAATCTGACAAAAGCACATTACTAAACTTAACTAAATGACTAAACTTGAACTTAACTACTTAAACTAAAATTAAAACGAACAAATTCAAAATATATTAGTAAACACTACAATAGCATAAAGATAATACTAAAATAACACTGGTTGACAGGTACACTTTTTAAAATTAAATTTTGTGGCAAAATTTAATCGTAAAACTAATGGACATGTTACAAATTAATATAAATGTACATTTTCATTATTTATTGTGTAAAAAGTATTGATCAATTCATAAGAGTTTACGGTTTATAATAGTTTTTACTTCATATAAAACATTAAAATGTATTATTTTAATAAAAGTAATATATATATAAGTTATAATTAAGGGACAACCTTTTGAAAGGGGCTTTTATTTTATAGATATAGTAGAGAGTGACAAGAAATATAAAGGATAGAAGGAATGGACATTTTATAGGCCCGACTTGAACCTGAGTGGCCCACATGAGCACCATAGTCCAACATGTCCAAAGCAGGTGCACTAACCGCTACTTTAACGGCATTATTTCGACCTTACAAGGTCTGAATAGTGAAGGCTAGTTTATGATCCTATTAATCAAATCTTGTTAATGACGTATTAAGCTCTATGAGATCTATATTTGTAGCACTAATAAACAATATTATCCTTTTTTAGTATCTGGGATCGGATGTGTGAATGCTAAACAGTCCGGCCATCCAATGTGTGCGCTTTGTAAACATGAGCTCCTGTTTCAGAGGCGCCAGCTTCCTGACTCAGCTAATTGTAAGGAACCCAAGCATGGAGTGTTCCTCTCCAGGGCTGAATCTGTTTGCTTGCCTGTGTTTACACATGGCATGAGTCTCAAGCTCCCACCCCGGGAAAGGTGAAGCTGTATTACCACTACGCAAGCTCATCACTCATATAAGCGCAAAGGCAATGACCCCAGATTAAATCTAATTTACCGTCCTCATAGCTGAGCCTCGCACCTACACACAGGGCTTAGATGTTCTGCTCTGACCTGCTCATTAATGGCTTCCATAATACTTGAATTAAATTGATTGGGGAGTGAACAAGGTCAAAGCCAGCCTCTAGGGAAGGATAGCATCAACTTCCAAAGACATGCAGAGTTCATAATGGAGCAAGAGTTTAATATCTTCAATGCCCGGAGGAGAAAAAGCAACACAAACGTGATTAGAAAGCTCCTCAAAAACAGAAAAAAAGTGTGTGTGTTAGCATGCTGGGACAGAAACCGCTACCTACAAAGTCCTCCAGCACCTGTTCAGCGAATAGTACAAATGGACCGAAATCAGTCACTGAGAAAATGGCTCCAGGTGCTTTGCGCAAGATTCATAACATCTTTCATATTATGTACACATTCACAGAATGGAGGTGAAATTGTCTCTTGGACGGCAACATAATTGTTTGGCAGAGTGAAAGAAATGAGTGGACTGCTATATCCGACAACTGGAAACATTTCAAGTGCTGAATAAGTGATGTAAAATGACAAATATGGCAGCTCAGTTGAGAGAGGCATTCACAAATTAGGGTGCCGTTTACGTGCATCAGAAACATACAGCACGACCAGTGAAGTCCGATTCCCTTGTTAATGATTCTTATGAGTCGGTTCTTTTTATTGAATCAAACACATGTGACTTTTTGAAACACTTTTTGAAACCCTGAATGAATCATTCGCTTTGCTTTTTAAACACTATTCAATATGACATTCCATCAAATTTGTGTTATTTTATTTATTAATGTGTAATGCTTGTGTGTTATTAGGCTGGGCTTGGAAAACTATTCAGTTTTTTTTTTTTAAATTCCAAGTATGGTGACCCATACTTGGAATTAGTGCTCTGCATTTAACCCATCCAAAGTGCATACACACAGCAGTGAACACACACCCGGAGCAGTGGGCAGCCATTTTTACTGCGGCGCCCAGGGAGCAGTTGGGGGTTCGGTGCCTTGCTCAAGGGCACCTCAGTCGTGGTATTGAAGGTGGGAGAGAGCGCTGTACATTCACTCCCCCCACCTACAATCCCTGCCGGTACGAGACTCGAACCCGCAACCTTTTGGTTTATGAGTCCGACTCTCTAACCATTAGGCCACGACTTCCCCCATTTGTTTGATTGTTCTCCCTTTTGTATTACACACACATGTTAAAATTCATTTCATTTATTAAGAATTAACCTACATTTGAAAACTGATCTTTGGTTCATGACATAGTGTCAAACCATAGGAATTTCGAAATGTTTCGAAACCAAGGCTGAATGCAAACTTGATCATTTTGTGTTCTTGTTTTTATGTTTTTGGTATATTTGGCATAAGAACACAAATATTCATGGCACTATTTTGTGGTGTCTAGATAGGCTACACAATAAAATTAGTTGTTTTCAGTCATAATTATAATCTCATCATAACTGTACTATGAATTTCTTTATATGTGTAAATCGTTTTAAGGAGTTGCCTAGTTAAATCCATTATGCAGATTTCACCTCAAAATTAGCACAGAAAATATGAAAACCTCTGCAGATTCTATCTGGGATGTAGATGTAGTCGCTGTAGCATCAACAGAATGGAAGTACAGGAGGCCACGGCCTCTGCAGTGATTTGAGCCAGCGAGACATTCTTTTTGACTTTTGATTTATAAAAGAAGGGCAAATGGCACTGAAGCTCGGTAACACAGCCCCTCTTGTCATAGTGACCTGTCAGCAGCGCTTTGAGTCTGAGAAGTCAGTGTCTCATCGAGGCAGAGACACCGAGTCACTGCAGTAACGTCCCACTGGGCTCAAAAACGCCGTCTCCTCAGAAGGAAGTTGGATCGACTCGATCTCAGCAATCAAAACATTGACACGGGTAACAGGATAACAGGAAACACTCTCCCACATGTCAAACAAGAAGTTGCTATAAGGTCTGTTATTATGGTCCTACTGTATCTGTTTCAGATAAATGTACCCCTTAATGGCACATAAAAACAAAACATTGATCGCTGTTTGTGTCAGTCAGACTGCTTTTCTTTATAAGTGGTTCTTATTTCAGTTTTAGCAGTATTTCAAGTAAGTATGTGATCTGTTAGACTTTTTTTTTTAGTTTAATGATAGAAAAATGGCAACATCCCCCATAAATTCAGTATATGCAAGTATGAGACAATTGAATTAAGAGTATTATTTTTGTAAAAATGCAACAGTGTGCTTTTGTGGTCAACTAATTTTTTTTTTTTTTCTAAAATTAAAAATATTCTAAATATATAAAAAAAATTTAATGATATATGTATATGTATATATATATATATATATATTTTATTAAAAAAACTACCACTTTTTAAAGAGTATTTAATTATGCAGCTGTGAGTTTTTTAATGAAAATTTTGTTGCAGTTTAGCATTTGTATTTGTGTTAACATAGACTAATGTTCAAAAGTGAGATTTTTTAATGTTTTTAAAGAAGTCTCTTATGCTTTCAAAGGCTACATTTGTTTGATTAAAAACAATAAAATTGTGAAATATTATTCCAATTTTAAAATGTAATTTACTGCCGTTTTCAGTGTCAATGAAATATTCTGATTTGTCGCTCATCAAACATTTCTTATTACTTTCAGTGTTGAAATTATAATATTTTTTGTGGAAGACATGATACTAATTTTTTTTTTTTTCGAGATTTTTTGATGAATAGAAACTTAAAAAGAACAGCTGACCCCAACTGACCCCAAACATTTAAATGGCATAAGAAAATAGGCATGTTTATTTAAAAAAAACGCATGAATTCAGATAAAATAAATAATGTATGTTTCTTATCATAAATATACACCCCCCCTCTTCTTTCTCAATCTCTTAAGCTGTCAGTAGACAATGTTCTCACCTTCAGTGTCCTGTTATGTCTCTGAAGCTCCCTGCAGAGCATCTCCAGCTTGCTGCGGGCCAGGATGGCACGACTGTGCTCGAACTGAAGCTGATCTCTCTGCTTGACCAGAAGACCCTGTCTCTGCTGAAGCTGCTCCAGCTGTTTCTTCTCAGTCCTGCGGTCCTCCACCTGCCCCATATGCACAAAACACACACAGGTGTGATCCATACATCATCTCATACCCCGCTTTAACACCTCTGGCTGGTCTAAAGCTGCTTTAGATAATGTCTGTCTGTCTGCTTGTTCAGACGTCATCGAGAGGATTTTGAAATGACAGACTTTTCCAGTTTTCCACATTAACACAGAGCCCTTAGATTGTATATATCTGAGAACAAGATCTGATTTTGTCTGATTTTCGTAGTCTTCTGTCATATGTTCTTCTCTACATGTCCCTGTCGTTATCTCTGTGTTTTGAAATTGAAGAGAGTGTTGTGGCTATCTTGTATGGCATATGGCCTTGTGTTCAGACTCGCTTATTCAGCCCAGGGCGTCGAATATTTAGGTCATCGCAGTATCAGTGAAACCACTCTTAACATCACACCAGGCGTTCTTTTATTTTCTCTCCGTGTCAATCCGGTTTGTGTTCTATTTGTTTCCTCTTAACTGTCCTCCATGCATTGTTGTTGCCGGCGGTGAAAACTGTTCAGAGAGCGGCGTTCTCTCATGGGTCTGAATACTCACCAGCTCAGTGTATTTCTTCAACACCATTTCCACTTTCTCTTCTGGTGAGCCGAGCTTGTTCAGGCTTTGCAATAAGGATGCGGCCTCTTTACCTACGAGACAAGCGTTTTCCGTTCAGATCACAGAATGAAAAGATAAAGAAGATGAGCAGAAGCCCACAAGGGAGAGTTCTGCACGCAAGCTTCAAAACAAATCAACGGGAGAAGTGATGGAATCACAGCGTGATAGCGTTTACTAGGATAAAATGGTTGAGAGAAGCAAACAAGGCACAAGACATATACTCAGCCTTAAGGGGATAGTTCATCCAGAAATGAATCTCTGTCATTATCTATTCACCCTCTTGTCATTCAAAACCTTACGGTTGTCTTTTTTCTATATAAATCTAAAAAAAAAAAAATCTTAAAAAACACTGTCAAAGTGGTTCGTAACATTTTTGTGCTGTATTCCAAGTCTTCAGAAGTCTTAAGACAGCTTTGTGTAAGGAACAAACTGAAAAGTTTGAATGAGTTCACAAAACCAGACTGGTCCAGTTTTTCAGTTCAGCTCATAGACTCATTGAGTAATTTGGTTGCAGTGGCCACCAGCCCAATTTATCTGTGACTATTCTTACACAAAGCTATTTATATGACATCAGAAGACTTGAACTATTGTGCATGAGTCATATGGACCACTTTTATGATATTTCATGATTCATTTATGGGACTTTTTTTTACATGTTAAAAGCTCCAACAGCTGTTCATTGTAATTACATTCAAATGCGTGACCAGTACATTATTCATATTTTCTCTTTCTGTGTTCCACAGAGGAAAGTCATACAGGTTTGCAACAACATGAGCAAGTAAATGATGACAGAATTTTCATTCCTGTGTAAAAATTTCCTTTAAGCCCAGAGTGTGTCAGAAAACTAAGTCAAGCACTATAGCTGTCTGCATTTGGTGATGATGAAGTGGGCTTTAGTATTGACGTCAGCATTCTTTCCTTGAGAATGGAAATATTCCAAACAGTTGATTACTACACACATAGCACTCGACCATCCTGCTGATAGAAAAACCCAATCACTGTTTATGACTCTCCATCTGTGCGATTGAGAGGTGCTACTTAAGGCATTATTTTTCAAACATAAAACAACAATCCGTTTTCTCACTGAAATCTCTGCTCTGTGGGTCATTTAACAAAATGAATGTCATTTGTGTCACTCAATCATACATTACTGTTTAAATGTTTGGGTTAAGGAAGATTTTTTTGTTCAAAAGAAATACATACTGTTGTTTATTTATAGGATGCATTAAACTGATCAAATATGACAATGTTACAACAAAATCTATTTCAAATTATCAATGCTTTTCTTTTAAACTTTCTATTTATCGAAGAATTCTAAAAATGATGTACTGTATATATCGTTATATATCATGGTAATATTTCCACAAAAATACTAAGCAGCACAGTTGTTTTGAACATTGATAATAACAAATGTTTCTAAAGCACCGAATTAGCATATTATAAAGATTTCTGAAGGATCATGTGACAATGAAGACTGGAGTAATGGCAGCTGAAAATTCAGCTTTGAATCACAGTAATGCATTCTGAAATATATTAAAATAGAAAACAGTTATTTTAAATGACTGTTTTACTGTATTAAAGCAGCACTATGTAACTTTTGGCGCTCTAGCGGTTAATAAACAGAACTGCACACATCCCGCGGAAGAACATTCCAACCGGAGCTACTTCTCTAAATTTATGTCTATGGCGATTCACGCAGGTATGTGTTACTCCGCAGCGGTGACGACCAGACCAGGCTACAATAGTCCAAATATAAGTACTTATTATAAGTGTACCGTAGTGATTCGCAATAAGACAAAAACGCGGTTTGGAAGATGAATTCATGATGTACTCGCTCATTATATACATTTTGCAAATTTTGAACACAGAAAAAGTTACATAGTGCTGCTTTAACTTGACACGGCACATTGTAATTTTTATTATTTATGTGGTTGTCAAACTTAAAATGGCATTTCATAGAATGACCCAAATCATTTCTTGACCAATTATTGACTGATTTGGCCATTCTCAAAATTCTCTTTGTGAGGTTTAGTCTTTTAGTTTGTCTGTTTAATCTCAAGACATTTACACTGTTTATCAAACGAACAGAAGAAAGGCCAATTGCTCACCCAGGCCCTTGAGAATGTTCTTATCAGCTATCTGCTCCTTCTCTGGAGTGGCACCAGCTTCTTGTGGGTCGGCCTCTTTATCAGCCTTTGCCTCCTCTTCCTTTCTCTCCTCAGACTCCAGGATGGAGATCTGCTCCTGCATCAGGCTGGATGCTGCTCCATACGTGTTGATTATATCCTCTAGCTGCCTGCTGAAGTCCTCCATGGGGTCCACTGGCTGCTCCAATGGGCCATTGACTTGTTCATTGGCGTTCTCAGAGGTCTGGTGACTGCCCTCCATCATCTGCTGCAAAAATCAAGTTAAATATATCACAAAAGTGCTTCAGAAGAAAGCAGGTTGATTAGCAGAGGTAGAACAGCCAATTCCTTGATTACACTCTTGGCTTGATGCTGAAATGAGACTGTTGAAATTAATGAGAAGTGATTATGCATTACTTGTAGAGAGGTTTGATACGACTCTCTGAAATCACCAGCCACTAAACTGAAGATGAATGGCTTTTGGCCAGTTTGTGGTATGTTTGCATAAATAGAGGGAATTTATGTTTGAAATGCATGAGGTTGTTTGAAATGTGAATTCAAATTTGGGGAAATGATTAATGGATTTGCCTCAGGCAGAAACAATATGGATAATAATGAAGTGACCTTGAAAAATAAATATTTGCAGAAACTTAAAACTGGAAATTGGAATGTGAAGTGATTTGTCTACATATACAATAACAATGGCAAATGTAATTAGTTCTATCTATTTGTTTGTCTTGTTTCTGTACTGATACTGTTTTGTACTGATATTTTATTAATAATAATTATATATATATATGCATATATGTTTATATTTAGGTCATATATTTTTTGAAAGTGTCTTATGTTCACCAAAGTTGCATTTATTTGTTAAAAAATATAGTAAAAACAGTAATATTGTGAAATATTGTTACAATTTACAATATATTGTTTTCTATTTTAATATATTTTTACAAATGTAATTTATTCCTGTGATGGCAAGCTGAATTTTTAATAGCCATTACTCCAGT